TTAATCGTGATTAATTGATTATTGAAATAATCATTAACTGATTTATCAATCAATTAATCGTTAAATGGAGTATATAGACTCTGAAACATGCCTTTAGCTAGCGGAGCAACTCACTTAGAGCTGTAATTATATTTAATTGTTAAAAAAAAATAAAAAAAAACATTTTGGATTTAACAAAAAAAGATTTTCATCTGTCAATTCAGAACTCCTCATCCTCAAAAAGTTTTATTTTCACCAGGTTTAATTTCATAAAAAATCTTTTTGAAGGAACCTTTGGCTATTCGATTATCAATCAAAAGAATGATCGACAGATTAATGCATTTGCAAAATAATCTTTATTTGCAGCCCAACTTCTGATCTAATTCAACTAAAACAATGTAGAAATGTCAATCATGTCAGTGGAGGCACCATGTTGACGATCTGGATAGTTTTATGAAAATTACATTATAGTGCAAAGGTCTTCAACTTCACCATGGATGACTATTTACACATGGGCACAGCCTGGTGTGTCGACTGAAGAATGATCTCNAAAAACCACATGAACATGAGACATGAACTTTGCTGTTTTGACAACAGCTCAACCTGTCCCAATATGTGCCGCCGATTATTTTGGGCCAATTTTTTTTTTATCTGATTCTGTTTTTTTGTTTAGAGGGAAAGATGACACAATGTTAATACAGTAAATGTTATGTAAGTCTCAATTTAAGCAAAAAAGAAACCTTCATCAATAAATCAAACAAAACAATAAATATAGTGAATGGAGGGAGCATTATTGCATGTGTATGCACGGGTTAATCTTAAGGTATGGCTCTTGAATGCAATTGTGAATTGGCCAATGTATGCATGTATCAGCCAATGCTGATACACCACCAGTATGGGCCAAAAATATAGCCTGACCTATTGGTCTATCTCAACTTATTTATTAGCTTTTTAAGCCCATTTTAATCATTTGTCTGATGCAACATCTTACATTAGCTCTCTGACATGGGAGTTGGCTCTGAGCTTGTCTGCCTGGCTGTGTGTTTCCTGGACGGGGATGCCTTTTACAGTTGCTTTTCGTATCTCTGCTTCTGCCTCCTTGAACCCCAGTCGGCCTCGGCAGATGGCCGCTCGCACTGAGCCTGGTTCTGCTGGAGGTTTCTTCCTGTTAAAAGGGAGTTTTTCCTCTCCACTGTCGCTACAAGGATACTTGGTGTGAGGAATTGCCTTCCAGTTAATGAGTCGATGCAATCAACTGGTTTTCCTTAGATAGAAAACTATGAATCAATTTGACTGGATGATCTGGTTAAATTCTAAAGTCCCTTGAGATGACATGTGTTGTGAATTGTCACTATAGAAATAAACTGAATTGAATTGAATCTTGCAGCAAACACTAAAGACTAAAGCTTTCTCAAGAAAAACAGTCTGCCCTGTTTTTGTAACCAGATTCACTGTTGAACTTAGAGGTTTTTGTTTTACTCCACTTCCTTAACATCTTCTTCCTGTTGGTAATGCTTGGCCAGTTCATTTTCTCAGTGTCATCAACATCAAGATTAGGTGATGGTTTTTAAGCTGTGCTGCAGCTATGCTAAGCTGTGTGATAGATGAACACAAAGTAGTGCCTAATAGTGAAGTAAAGACCCAGGGTAAAATTTGGTGGAAGTTTAACAGGTTTTAGGTTTAAATATTTAGCCCAACGTTGAACATGCTACAGGGCTCTATTCAATGCTGCAAAACTTCAAATATGTGACATCTGGCATAGACCTGGATAGCAAGAGGTTTAATCAGAGAGACAGCCCGCAGGTTCAATGTAACTCCAGAGAGATTGAGGTTTTCAAGCTGATACAGCAAGTTTGAAAAAAGGTTATCATGACTTTTAACTGCCAGTAAGGTAGTGAGTTACCAATGAAAACTATTTGCAGGAAGTGGGTCACTGATTTGACCTGACAACAAAAGGTTGTTAAGAGCTTCTGTCACCTCCCTCATTCAGATCAGTATCGTAGAAAGAGGAGCTTTGTATCTACAACTAACCTCAATGTCAGATCAGTAAACATCTTAAAACTCCATGCAGGCTAAAAATAAATCTGTTACAGGAATAAAATCACACCCTGCTGGAGACATTTCCTGTTTAGGTTCTTTCTGGCTATACTATCCACAACAAATCCATTAATAAAAAAAAAAAAGGGGCAACCTTTATGATTAAGTTAAGCCTCATGTGTCATTCTCATCTTTAGGATACTTGCTATTGAAATGAAACATAAAAATTCAAAATGAATTACAATAGGCCTTCACAGTGGGCCTAATTAAACAAGTTAATGAAAACCTTCACTTATTATTTAGTACTGTATCTTCTCTATATGTACATGAAACTATAATATTGAATGAACTAAATGCATTTTAATGGTTCTAGCTGATTTTTTTTTTTCTTCAGCTGAGAAATCAACACTATTACATGATCTTTAGAAACTGAAATGATAATGCTAAAGTAATTATAGACGTTTAAAAGGATTCAACAAATGTCCGATTTCTATTTGTACGTTAGTAAGTCAGTATTTAAGTTAAGATATATTCTGATCATAATTTTCTTGTCGGAAAGCATCATAGTATAATATTCCAGTGTTTTATTATTGAAAATCCTTAAGAGAAATCCTTAAAATTATACTTCTAAGGTTTTTTGCTCATTTGAAAGGTGTCTTAGTGCTTGGAATCCTCAAACACAGAAGAAAGTAGCACATCAGGTAAACCTGCTTATGTAAGAGGATTAATAAGGAGACAAAAAATATTTTTTTATGCAAATTTATACTCAAACATAGGGGGAGCCTTTTTTTTTTTTTTTTTTAGAGTTTTTGAGTGCAAACATTTGATTCACAGAAAGGCTGCGTGTGAATCATGTGCATGACATTCATTTTCTTAAAATTCCGACACCCGGTTAGTTTTTCTGTTAAGTATGGTTTTTGTTTCCTGATTCACCAAAAAATTCATCAATCTTAGAAATAGAGATTTACATCATCAATCTTTCTGGTAAATATCTTCACTTTTCTGCATTTTCTTTACACTTCTATTATCTTCAGTTTTGCTACTTAAAAGTCGTTCTTCTCAAATTTTCACAGCTGATTGCCGTATGTAACCTGAAAGAAGGAAACAATGCTCTGCAGGGGAATGTCTTAGCTTTATCTTGTTATGTTGCCTAACTTGACTGAGTCACACACGTCATGAAGAGTTTAATTAAATAGGAGGCAGAGGACATGACAGATTGACAAGGAATCAGTTACTTAACTTCATTTGTCTCCATGTTTTTGAGTGCATAATGTTCCTCTCTTCATGTGGATTCAAATTTATGCTTTTCATTAAATCTTTACAGAATTTATAATTGCAACCTGTCACCAAAACATCAGGCAAAAATGGGGAAACTTTATGCCTATTAAACAAAAAGAAAAAAAAAACATGTGGCTAAAATCAGAAGATTATTTTAATCTAAAATCAACTAGTGAGAATATGTGTTGGTTTAGCTGCATTCACAGAAGTGATACAACAAAAATAGAGAGTGTGATTTTTAAAGAACCTACAAAGGAGCACTAACCCTAAATGCCAACTTTTGGATATTACTGTTTAAAGAACTGATAGCATAGAATGGTTTCATTGAAATTTTGCAACTAACTTGTTAAATTGTCTTAAAGTAAAAGAAAATATATTTAAGCTTTCTTCTTGCAAAATACTGTATTATGTAACATTTCTCTCCTTGTGCTGCCAGATCCTAGGAATGTATTAAGTAACCAGCTGAGGAAGAAGTTTTCTATGCTTTGTTTAAAATAGTATGCAGCAAAACTGGGTCACTGTTTAAAGTCACTGTTAAAATACTCATGTTAGAAACATGCAATAGCTTGACCTAAAATAATGTTCAGTCTGATGCAATAAGAATGATAACTAAAAGAAAAACAAGAAAATACTCCGACAAGGAACTATATTAATGTATCATTTATTAATAAAGTTGCAGCAGAAGTTTTACAAAAAGTGGATCAAATAAATTATAAAAAAACACATCTCAATATGGTTACTTTTGGCTTAATATACAAAGAAAATGCTACATTGTATTTACAATCATAGGTTTCGATAAAATGCATAATTTTCAAATACTTTGTGACTTTTAAGGCTTTAAGTCTTTTATCAGCAGGTACAGTTTTATCTATTTACAGGTCAAAAGCCCAACAGTCTTTGTACAGTAGTTATGATGCTCTTCCTCTGTCTTGGCAGGTCTTATCAGCACAAAGATAATGGCTGACAGGTGTTCATCCTCTCCCTGATAGGTACAGCTGAACTATTTCAGTTCACACATTGTTCTGCTAAGAGAGATTCCTGATGCTCTCTGTGATATCTCACATTACTTGCTCTTTTATGGCTACATTTTCTCCAAACAGTGGAAACAGGATATAAGGTTTATGTTACGCAACTTCAGTTTAAACCTACAGTGTGTTTATTATGTGAGAATTGGTCTGAGATTACTCATCTTCGCTGGATAAGTCTTCTGCATCACCCCACAAGCCATCACTGTCAAATCTTGCCCTGGAAATCTCATTTTCCTTACATGTTTTGCTACAGATCTTGCAGACACGCAGCAGTTTCTTGGGGTCAATGTGGTTGATTCGGGCTCTGTCCTTGGAGCACTTGTTGCACACCACAAAGCCACACTTCCTGCAGTGGTGTCGGCGAATGATTGGGGTGAATGTGACGAAGCAGCGCATGCATTTCTGAGCAGCATGGTCAGGAATCCAGCATTTGGCAAAGGTAAGGTTTTGTTCGGGGACTTGCTCCTGCAGCAGGGAACTCTGGCAAAGCTCGATGTGCATCATCCAGGCTTTCTTCTCCTCGCAGGTGGGGGCAGAGATGTAGAAAGACTTGCGAGGCGTGCAGATTAACCACAGGTTTTTAAATTCTTCACCATCTTCCATGTCCTCCAGCCTGATGTCCTCTGAAATGATAAGATATTTATATAATTTTAATGCATCAAACCATGCTTAGTTTGGTTGACTAAAATTTAAATTTGAATAATCAGCTGATGTCTGCATTTGAGAGACTCACTTAAAGGGATGGTCTTCTGGTTCTTGTACCAGCGGTTGTTCATGATGACGCTGCCGTACACGAGGATATCGTTGAAGAGGAAGAATGCTTTCTGCTCCCACTTCTTCCGACCCTGCTTCATCAAGGTTCCCTCTCCCACCAGGATCCGATTTGGTTTGGAAAGCGGCTCTCCCGGTGGCCTGAAAGCATTCTCCACTTCCTTGATCCGCTTGCGGTTCTGGGTTTCAGTAGACAGCTTGTCCATGCTGATGCTGATGATGTGTCTGTTGCAGTAGCTAGAGAGTGATTTATTCATTGACTGTGATGTGAGTCTGTTAAATAGCCTTCTAGCGTCATCAGTGGTACTTTCCATGGGCAAGCCACAATCAAGGAAGTTATGCAGCAAACAAAAACAACAGGAAGGTGCAGAGCGGGATCTCTATCATAGAGGGTTTTTAATTATCTATGTCTCTTGGGTGTGGTTATAGTGAAAACCCCATTTTCTAATTTTATTTAGAAGTCCAAAGCTTTTGAAAGCCAGAAGATTGTTTGGGTAAAATTGTACTTTGGAAATTCCACTCTCCCTTTTCAAAGGTGCAGGGTTATGCATATTGAGGTAAGGCATTGCACCAGCATTAGCAGTAAAGAGGGTAGAGTGTACAGCTCTATCACCTTTATACAACAATTTGTCAGAAAAAATATTGTTTTAAGATGTTTTTAAATGTGAGAGAACTCCTTAAAGCTTCAGCCTTCTCAACAAGTATGGTGATGAAGATTCTCAGTCATCCAGGTCATAGTCATTCTGTAAAAGTTCAAAAAAACTTCCACTGGACTTGGTTTCCAAGATTTGAAGATGCTTCGCCACCTCTCCAGGAAGCTTTCTCAATTCCTCTCACTAAGCAGCTTTTTGTGCGCTTTCCTAAGAATCTCTTCTGCCCTGTATCCTTTGATAGTAGACTTCAGTCTTAAACTGTTGGGAATGAGTCCTTGCAGTCTACATCTTAAATTGAAACGTAGATGGTTCCTATAATCTACAAGTTTCCTAAGCAATTTCTCATACTCACGCGTTATTCCGAGGGTGTCTTTCCCAAAATGGAGTGCAATAGAAAGCAAGGACTCATTCCCAACAGTTTAAGACTGAAATCTACTATCAAAGGACACAGGGCAGAAGAGATTCTTAGGAATGCGCACAAAAAGCTGCTTAGTGGGAGGAATTGAGAAAGCTTCCTGGAGAGGTGTTGAAACATCTTCAAATCTTGGAAACCAAGTCCAGTGGAATTTTAACTGGTTTAAATGTAATTTAGAAAATAGAAGAGGTGTTGTCGCATTGGTTGTTATAATTCAGCTTCAATATGCATACAGACTGCTGACCCATCAATTTGTAGCATGAAGTAAGGAATTCTTAACACAAAGCACCAGGAATAACATTCAACATTTTGGAGGAACTAAAGTCCTCCCTGAATTTCTTTAATAATTTTTATATAAATATTTGATTTTAAAGACAATCTTGTGGAAAAACGTAAGGAATAGTTAAATTAATTAGATTTTTGCTGGGCAATACATTTATTTTGAAAACAGACACAACCCTAAAAGAACATTGTGGAAGAACCCTAAGCTTTGGACACTGATGTTTACAGCCGCTAACTTATTTTTTGTAATTTCATTCAGGCAGTGCATAGAGAGAAGTATTAAAAACAACCCCTAAATATTTTATTCTAGAAAAGGTTGGAATGTCCTACACTTGTGCTGTAATTGTTGTTGAGACCAAAGGCATAAAGGGTGACGTACCCCAGTTCACTCTATATCCACAGATATTTCCAAATGGTTAAAAAATCTTAAGAAGATATGTTCTTGATTCCATTGGATTAATGGTATAAATTAGAGTATTGTCTGCGTACAGTGAGATATGATTATTTTGAGCCAATTTTAAGGATTGTCTTTCTAGTTGTGGTTATAAAGTTATACAAAATAAAAGCGGGGACAGAGGACAACTAAGATAACTCCATTTGAGTCAGTCAAAGGCATTTTCTGGCCTTTTCTAAAATAGCATTAACTAATAGCCCAACTATTTACAAAACCTTCCACACAAGTTCTGCTGGTGCTGCTCGCTGACGAGCCCTAACCCCAGGCATAGCTTCATGGTGAAGCCCCAGATCCACCATACTGGGCCAACTTCACTAGATTTGAATTCGTTGTCTGCATGAACCACTCTATGTTGGACCTGTATCCCTGTTAGCCATGGCTGACCATCCCAGGGGGCAAAAAAAGGCCCAATACAACATCTCTGCGATCAATTGAGAAGTGTTAGGATAGTTATCATTGATGATGTGTGAGTTTATTACCCCTTAATATTAGCTGCCTTTTGCGTGTTAGAAGTGATGTTTTCCACAATAGTTTATCTGGTTAAGACAGTTCCTCTGTCCAAATATACAGTTATAATCTTAATTCTGTACGTGGCAAAGATTTGGAAATGGAATGAGAGCGGTGTCCCTCCGCTAAGAATGAAGTGTAATATTTTGATAAAGCTGGAGCCATGATGTCTATTCATCTGCTAACGGTTATGATGTAATGATGTGATAATGTTGCAGACTGGAGATAAATAAAATGCCCCTTTAAGTGTTAATCTGGGCCACTTCCTAAGAAGTGAATTTTATTCTGATCTGAGTAAAATTACATTTTCTATCAGAATCTGTGGTCACATCTCCTGGTTATTTAATTCATATAAATTACGAAGTGTTATTTAAAGAGTTTGTCCGAGTGATCTCTTTTCAGGAAAAAGAACCGGAGAGAGAAAGCTTCATGGTGTGGACATAGAGAGCCCATCTTTAACAGAACCAAAACCTCTCCAACATATTAAGGTGAAAGTTCCAGGAGGTGACATATATTGATTAATCATTAGTAACACTTTTTTTCTCAGTTAAAATACAGAAATTAACAATGCTCTAAACAGAAAGTCTTGAAATGTATTGTATTATTTATTAACAAAGTTGTAGCAGCAGTTTTACAACATAAAAAAAAACAACTAAAAGCAAATTATTGAGATCACAGTATAATGAATTAGACTTTTTTCAGTACATACAAAGAAAAAACAACAGTTTGACTACAAGGATATGCTTATATACAGTAGATCTCCTCTTGAATACTTTATGAACTGCAGCTTATTGCAGAAAGTTATTTTATTTTTTACAGATCCACGAGTCCAACATTTTTGNCTTGGGGTCAATGTGGTTGATTCGGGTTCTGTCCTTGGAGCACTTGTTGCACACCACAAAGCCACACTTTCTGCAGTGGTGTCGGCGAATGATTGGGGTGAATGTGACGAAGCAGCGCATGCATTTCTGAGCAGCATGGTCAGGGATCCAGGATTTGGCGAAGGTGAGGTTTTGTTGGGGGACTTGCTCCTGCAGCAGGGAGCTCTGGCAAAGCTCGATGTGCATCATCCAGGCTTTCTTCTCCTCGCAGGTGGGGGCAGAGATGTAGAAAGACTTGCGAGGCGTGCAGATTAACCACAGGTTTTTAAATTCTTCACCATCTTCCATGTCCTCCAGCCTGATGTCCTCTGAAATGATAAGATATTTATATAATTTTAATGCATCAAACCATGCTTAGTTCGGTTGACTAAAATTTAAATTTGAATAATCAGCTGATGTCTGCATTTGAGAGACTCACTTAAAGGGATGATCTTCTGGTTCTTGTACCAGCGGTTGTTCATGATGACGCTGCCGTACACCAGGATATCGTTGAAGAGGAAGAATGCTTTCTGCTCCCACTTCTTCCGACCCTGCTTCATCAAGGTTCCCTCTCCCACCAGGATCCGATTCGGTTTGGAAAGCGGCTCTCCCGGTGGGCTGAAAGCATTCTCCACTTCCTTGATCCGCTTGCGGTTCTGGGTTTCAGTAGACAGCTTGTCCATGTTGATGCTGATGATGTGTCTGTTGCAGTAGCTAGAGAGTGATTTATTCATCGTCTGTGATGTGAGTCTGTTAAATAGCCTTCTAGCGTCATCAGTGGTACTTTCCATGGGCAAGCCACAATCAAGGAAGTTATGCAGCAAACAAAAACAACAGGAAGGTGCAGAGCGGGATCTCTATCATAGAGGGTTTTTAATTATCTATGTCTCTTGGGTGTGGTTATAGTGAAAACCCCATTTTCTAATTTTATTTAGAAGTCCAAAGATTTTGAAAGCCAAAAGATTGTTTGGGTAAAATTGTACTTTGGAAATTCCACTCTCCCTTTTCAAAGGTGCAGGGTTATGCATATTGAGGTAAAGCATTGCACCAGCATTAGCAGTAAAGAGGGTAGAGTGTACAGCTCTATCACCTTTATACAACAATTTGTCAGAAAAAAATAGTTTTAAGATGTTTTCAAATGTGAGAGAACTCCTTAAAGCTTCATCCTTCTCAACAAGTACAAGGATCTTTAAGGATCCTTCGGTAATATACTACAAAGGGACATCCCAGCAGTCTCAAAACAAAGGATTATATCTCTCTGTGTTCTTGTACAAATTCATGTACACATTCCAAACTCTATCTCATTGCTTGACTGGCACTAGTGTGTTACCCGTTTGTCGGGGCTCAAAGAGAATATAAAGTGTTTATCAGGTATCGAGTCAATACATACTTTCCTCTTATAAACTGTAGTTTTTATCATCTGAATGTTTCCACGTTTTTAGCAATATATGCAATATACAAAATTTTAACTTGCAACCACTCTCTGAGCAGCTTTATGGAAGATTAAGTAAATCTCAACAAAAGGTTTGAGAAATAACTCTGCAAGAACTCTGCAAGCTAGGGGTGTATATATATATATATATATATATATATATATATATATATATATATATATATATATATATGTATATACATGTATTTGCATATGCTCCTTTCATTAATAATCATTGTTGGGTTGTTAAAACACAATCTGTTTATTAAGGCAAACACTCTACAATTTTTTTTGCACATGCTTCCTGCTCTATTGAACACACAAAAAGATTGACAATGTCTATGATGATCTACTTTGAATGTGGAAAGAAGTTTCCAATTCATTTCAGTTTATTTATATAGCGCCGATTCACAACACATGTCATCTAAAGGCACTTTACAGTTCACCAGGTCATACAGTCAAACTGATTCAAAGTTTAAGGAAAACCAGTTGATTGCATCGACTCATCGACTCAAAGGCAGTTCCTCACACTAAGCCTGCTTGTAGCGACAGTGGAGAGAAAAAAATTCCTTTTAAGAGGAAGAAAACTCCAGCAGAGTTAAAAAAAGCAACTGTAAAAGGCGGTCCCGTCCAGGAAACACACAGCCAGGCAGACGAGCTCTGAGCCAGCTCCCATGTCAGAGGATGAAGAGAGTACATCAGCCAGTCAAGGTCAGAGAAACAGGACTACACTGGAAAACAGGCAGATTTCCAACATCTATACACAAATGTGTTGATTGCAGCAGCACAGCACAGGTTTCTATTTATTTTTATAGATGGAAACCTTTTGAAGATCAGGCTTTTATTTTGTTTCAATAAAGGCTTAAAAGTTCTATCTCAAGATTTCCAGGTCCTTTTTTATATACTTTTCTGTTACTTAGAAAACCACTTCTGGCTACTCTAACCACTGCAAATTAACTAATGCAATAAAAGGCAACCTTGTTTTCACCAATAAATCACCAGACCCAAACACACATGTACAGTTTATGATAAAGTGAAGCCTTGTGACTCATTCTCATATTTAGGATACCTGCTATTAAAAGGAAACTTAATCTGATTCAAGATGAATTAAACATGCTAATGAAAAAACTTTACATATTATTTAGAACTGTAATATTTGATCAAATTCTCTAAAAGTACATGAACTGTATTGTTAAATTAACGACAATATGCCTTAATGGATTTGGCAGATTTTATTTTTCTTCAGTTGCGATATCAACACCACACGAGAGCCAATAGAAAGACTCCTGAATAGGTGTCAAAACGTCATCAAAAAACTGAACGAAAGTCTGTTTGCTTTCCAATTTAAGGCTATCTGTGTTATCAACACAATATTATGACATTCCCTTTAGAACAGAGATGAAGTAATTAAATGTACAGGTGTCTGATTTCTATTTTTAGGTTAGCAATTAAGTCAAACAATAAGTTAAGGTGTGGTGTATATTTTGGAATGTTTTGATTATAATTTCCTGTTTGGAAAGCCCTGAAACTTTATATTGTACTTTAACAATTGAACTTATAGTCCAATGTGTGAAATTATTAATCGTCCTTTCAGGAAATCCTTAGAGGAATTCTTTTATGAATATTTACTCATCTGTAAGGTTTGTAAGTGCCGGGAATCTTCAAACATAGATGAAAGTAGGTCATTGGTTAAACCGGGTTAGGCAAGTGGGTTAAAAAGGAAACAAAAATGTTTTATGCAAACATATCCACAAACATAGAATTTGGCAGTTATCCAGTAAATTTTAATTTAAAAGATTTGTTACAAATAAATTAGTTAAGGTAAAACTTTGAAGGTTCTGTAAAGGGTTTTGTTGAAAAATGGTTTTTCCCCGGGTCCGTTAATTTGAGTGCAGGTAACTTAAAATTCTGGACAACGAAGCTTCGATTCGCCTTTGCAAAGGGAGAGGAGCAGCAGCACGCATTTGTGAACAGCAACTCTGACCCCCCCTGCAACACTGGCTCTTTTTATTATCTTCATAGGGGAACATCATACAGTTTCACACAGACAGTCCCACAGAATGATCATACTCCCTACATTCCTATCTTCATGTATGGAGTTGCTTCCTGCATTTTTGCTCCCCTGCAGCTTTTTCTGTATGTGTGTGCAAGCAAGGTCATCCTGCCTTCCACCTGCACCTGTTGTTTTCTACACTCTGTTCTGTAAATCTGCCCTAATACATATGAACAATAAGTTTTGCTGCAGCTTTAACTTAGCTCTTTACTTCTTTTAGCTTAAAACATGTATGTATATCTTCAGTTTCCAGGGTTGAACCAATGTTGAATGCATTGTTTTAGGTCTGATGAATATTTTAGTTACACCTCACATACGGAAGAGGGCAGCATGCTTTCTTTCTCTCTGTCTGCATAATAAGGATGCATCTAGTGGAGCTTCTCAGCGTCTGAATAAGGAGGGCGGTGCTGCAAGATGCTGATGAAGATTCTCAGTCATCCAGGTGATAGTCATTCCGTAAAAATTCAAAAAATATCCACTGGACTTGGTTTTCATGATTTGAAGACGTTTCGTCACCTCTCCAGGAAGCTTTCTCAATTCAAATGATGCTGCAAGATGTGATTTTATCAACCCTCTCAAGTTGATGCAGCCAATAAGGTAACAATTTCTATTTATGTGTTAATATAAAAGGAAAATGTTACGGTTGACAGATATGTTGGGTTTATGTTTTAATATTATGCAAAGGGCTCAAACTACTGATTCGTTGAAGGTTTCTTTGTTAAAAAAGTTCTCTATTAGAATTTCCTATTCTTTAAAAAAGTATAATTCTTTTTTTATTTGTGCAGTTCTCACGGCATCGTTAATGGCACCTGTACCCAATTAAATGCCAGGAAAATTCAAGAAGGCCTTGTGTCAATCATTCAACCAGGAGGTAGTTAAATAGGAAGAGCGTTTAAGAAAGTGTTTGTCTAAAGCACTTAGAGTAAAAATTTTATTCACTGAAAGGCTGCATGTAAATCCTGTGCATGACATATATTCTCTGATAGTTTATTAATTTTTATGTGAAACATGATTTTTGTTTTCTGATTCACTCAAAATCATCAGTCTTAGAAGTAGAGATTTACTTAATCTTTCTGGAAAAAACTTTTTAACATTTCCTTTACACTTCTAACCTCTTCGGTTTTGCTCTCTTCAGAAGCCTATTTGGAAGCCTTAGTCCTTGACGTAGGTGACCCGGTTTTGAATCCAAATTGTGGTCCTTTCCTGCATGTCTCTCCCTCTCTCTTTTATTCCCCCTTTCCTGTCAGCCTACTGTAAAAAAAAACTAACAAAAAACAAGCCACTAGTGCTGTAAAAATTAAAGAAATAAATAAAAGCAATGCTCTGCAGTCAAATGTGTTCAGTTTACCTCGTTATGCTTAAATGACTTCAATGAGTACAAACTTCAAAAAGAAAATTATTAAAGACTTGACTGACTTCAAAAGCTCAGCACTATGGGTAATGTTATCTATGGAGCTACTTAAAGAGCTTAAAGCAACACATAGCAGCACCACACAAACATCTGGTCATGTTGGTCAACCCTACCTGAGAGGTTTGTCTGTCTGCACCAGATTGTTTGGGTATATCTCTGTGAACAGATATTTTCAGAAATGAAAAATGTACTTGTCCACTTCTGCAGTAACTGCATAGTTCCTTTTAGTAGATGTTCATATCACAGGTCCCTCTTCAATGCCTTCGCAGCATTGCTACCTTTTTTATGCCTTGCAGCACATTTCCATGTTGTAAGCCTTCGAGGCACAGCTTCCCTTTCATACGCCTTTGTGGCACAATTCACCTTTTACACATAGGTCCCTTTTCTAAACCTTCATGGCAGAGCTTTGCTTTTGTATTTCTTCGCAGCACAACTCTAATTGCTGTGTTTCTTTCTGTGAGTTTTTCAGGTTGAAATGAATCCTGGGCGGAAGTTCAACTGAAGAAATGGAATCACGTACCCANAAGAGGCTCATCTGTCTTTAAGCAAGCCAATTATTATTGGATCACACTTCCCTTTAAGTCCAATCAGCATTCAGAGTCCAGCCTAAAAGACTTTCGAATCCATTCAGCTTGCTACCAAACCAGGCTCTTGCACAGTTAGCTTGGATATCATATTTTGATCAAGGTGACCCTGATTTAACTCTCCTCCATCCTCATCTCCTCTTTCATAACAAGCTCAATCTGGCCCTTTCTTCACACTGCTGCCCATAGGAGTGATATCCCTGACTTGTACTGCATTCACGAGGCATCCTCAG